CAGCGCAGCCCGCGCCCCGCATCGGCCCGACTCGGCCTGGGGGAGCCGCGCCCCCGCCCAACCGTCCTGGACGTGCCCTCGGGGCTCCTGCGCGGGCTCGGCGAGCTGGGGGGGTTCGGGAGGCGAGCCTGCGGGGTCCCCTGATGGGCCACCAGCGGTGGGTGTCCATCCTCCCCCCGCCACCCCATCGCCATCCCAGCCAGCCTAGTTTGCTTTAGTGGGGCTCCGACTCTGCAGACAGCCATCCATTCGTCCTGCTCCTTGGTCTGCGTCTCTCCACCACCCTGTGCTCATCTCCCTTCTCCCCTCCTGACCCCAGATCTTTCTTGGGTTGCAGTTGGGAGAAAACCCGCGTTTCTTAGCTTCAGAGCTAGTAGGTCACTTAAGGTTCATATTTTTCCTTTCAGCCTTGATGGCCCCGAGCAGTAAATGGAGATTTGTATTAGAAGATGGTTCTTTTCTGTTGGGGTCTTGTATGGGCTCAAATCAAAGCAGCTGCAGGAAAAGTTGCTTGAACTTTGAGGACCTTTTCAGGAATCGTGATGGGTGCAGCATAAAGCTGAAAAAGCCCTGTTGTGGAGATAATTCCAGCTTTTAGCTAATAATTTTAAAACAATAATAAAATTCCACACGTGTCAAGTTGTTGTTCGGGAAAGGAAACATGAGGATATCCTGGAGACTTGGGATTGTGCTGTTTCATGTAGACATGGACCCCGAAAAAGCAGTTGAACGACTGTTATGTAAGCATAGAAATAAACCATTTTCAGAAATTACGTGCCATGAAGTGGAGCCACTACTGACCAAAAAAAGAGGCCTCTTGTAGGTGGGTGAAGGGGTCTAGCCCATTGCTAGACCTCGGTTCAGAAGCAGCAATTTAAAAGACTGAGGTTGAGTTTCAGATCTTAGCACCGTTCCCATAACCAGCCCCTCCCTCACTACTCCATTTTGAAAATTAAAGACTACCTGATTCACATGTCGGTTTCAGCAGCACAACTGCCTAGGGCTCTGGTCCTCAACCAACTTTAGTTGCTGCCGTTAGATGTCCAGGACCACTAGCACTGAGATATTGGTGGGTCGGACCCAAACAGCAGGTGCGTTTCTAAACTCTCCAGGTTAAGTCCCGTGTGTAGCCAAGATTGAGAAGAACCAGTTGTTCAGGGGACGTTTAAACTGTTCAGCAAAAGCATGCAATCCTGAATTTTCTGAGGGTACTGCAGTGTTTTTATCCTTGCTAGCTTTTGCATTTATTTCTTTTAGATGTACCCCACTGCCTTCAATTCTGTTCCGAATAGTAGAGACCCTGTACAGAGTTTCCTAGCCTGTAAATCTTAATGGGAACAAATAGCTTGATCTTTCTCTCTTGGAGCTGCTGATGCGTTTGAACCACCAACCTTGAGATTAGCAGTCCAGTTGGCGCCAGTTGCAGGAAAGAACTTTTCTCAGTAGCATAAAGTATAGGAAAACTGGTGAGAAGTAATGGACTCTGAGGTCTTTTATCTGGTTAAGACTTGGAAGCCAGTTGTCCAGGGACCACCTGAAATTGTTTAGAAATTTTTGTACATTTCCCTAGTGAGTTTGTGAGTTTCATCAGATCTTTAAATGACCCTCCCCAAAGAATTAAGAATCACCACTTTCATTTAGTTAATTGCTGTTGTTGTTAAAGTGCAAGTGAGTCAGTTCAGACCCATAGCAACCATGTATGGGTTTCCAAGGAGCTGCTGGTGAGTTTGAACCGCTGACCTTGCAGTTCAGACTGACCTTGCGGTCCAGTGCTTATCCTGCAGCGCCACACCTGACCTCAACTTTAAATTTTGGAGAAGCAGATTATTGTATTTTCTGGCTTTTCATGGTGAGTAAGAACATTTGAACAGATTTTGAAAAGAAAACTATATCTGAGACGATTCAGATTCTGAAGTTAGGTGTCCCCTCTTGTAGTGATGAATTCAAGAAGGCATTTTCAGGTTGGCATGGCACAAGTCAAAATTATCTCCAATTCTGAATTAGGTATAGTTAGTGAGATTGTTGTGTACATTCATTAAGAAGATTAAGAGTTCAGTTTTCTGAACTGTGGGTCAGAGACCAAGGTAATTTTTAAAGAAATGCACAGATGTTTTACCTCTGGATTGCTTCTTGACAATCAGTTGTTGCGAGGGCCATCAAGTGGGTTCTGACTCATACTAACCCTGAATAGGGTTTCTGAGGAGCGGCCAGTGGGTTTGAACCTCCAGTTAATGGAAATCATTACTAGTAAGCCCTTTGGGAACAAGAGTAGAAAAATGAGTATTTTGTTGTTAAGTGCCATTGGATCAGTTCCAACTCATAGAGACTTTGTATGGGGAGTCCAAGGACTGGTGGGTTTGAACCACCAAAATTGTGATTCGCAGTCCAGTGCTTGTCCTACAGCGCCATGGCTGAGTATCGCTAGAGGAATAAAAGGAAGATTACCTTGCGTACCTTTCCTCTTACTTCCTTGTATCTATTCTGTTGATATCGCAGTTGTGCATTCACTATCCTTTAGCATAGGCCCTTGGTACCCCAACCCTCGCAGTGTGCAGTAAAACTTTACACAGCTAGAACCCATTTTTACACTCGAATGAAGAGGGTACAAAGTTGGAGTCCTGGTGTGGCGCTGTAGGATAAGCACTGGGGCTGCTACCTTCAAGGCCAACAGTTCAAATCCCCCGACTCCATGGACTTAACGACAACAACAAAGTTGGCTATTTTACTGTCTTTTTAAAATGTGACCTTGAATGCCCACTAACTGTAAGGTCAATTTTATTTTCCGTATCCAACATTTCAAACAGGATGTTTTAGAAGCTTCCATTTATTTACAAAATCTACACATTATTCATTTAAACATATATAGGAGCTCTGGTAGCATAGTGGTTACGAGTTTGGCTGCTAACCTCAAGGTCAGCAGTTCAAAACTACCAGCCATTCCATGGGAGAAAGATAGGCTTTCTGCTCCAATAAAGATTGACAGTCTGGGAAACCCTGTACACATTTGAAATCAGTTGGAACTGACTCCACGGCACATAAGCAGCACCAGCAGGCCGTGTTACTTGGAACAATTCATTCTGTTGCCTAGGCCATTTTAAATTTTGCTGTGTAATAACTAATTTAATGCTTTGCTCATGGATTTCCTTTTAACACAAGCTTTTATGGAAAGGTTTTGACCTTTACTATCCGGACAGCAGTCCTTTGAGGCAGGTAAGGCAGGGGGTGTTTCTGTTTATAACTGGGAACTGGTAGGCCTAGATTACATTCATAATCAGGCCAAGGCTGTATAAGCAGTTAGTGATTGAGATAGAAACGAAGGGCAGGCTCAACGAAAGGCTTTGCTTGCTGTGTATAACACTATGGTAGTTTTGGAAAGAACGCTTTTGGTAACTACATCTTTCTGCTGATTCACTGACCTTCCAAATATGGATGATTTTTTAAAATTAAAAATTAGTGTTGGATGGCATCCTCTTTTCCATTTTATTCCCAATTCCTCAGACTTCTCTGCAGTCCCCAAAAGTTATTCTCATTACTTTGGTCAAGAAGTTTGGAATTCCTACTGTTATCTGGCTTGGTGTGGCACTGGACTGCTAACCACAAGGTTGGTGGTTCAAACCCACTGGTCGCTATGAGTCAGAACCGACTTGACGGTGTTGTCAGTGGGAAGATGTGGTTCTCCCTGGTAAGACAGCTGCAGTCTAACGTGTATAAAAGGTGCTATGGAAAGGTTTTAATGTCTGCTCTCTGGACAGCAGTTCTGTGAGGCAGGCAAGGGCAGGGGGCATCTCTGCTTGTAATAGTGATAGGCAGCACCGTCTGTGCTAGGATGGAAGTGACTGTAAGTATTGAGTGCAGGGACGGAGAGCCGAGTGGGCTGTGCTGCGGTTACTCCTGCTGCCCAGGCACAACTGGCTGAAACGCTGACTGATCCTGCACTAACCTCAGGATCGGTTGTGGCTGAAACCATGGTGATCCATAGCGTTTGTTTTATTGGCAGATTTTCTGAAGTAGATCTCCAGGACTTAATTCCTAGTCTTTTGAAATTTCTGCTGATACAGCTTAACATCATTGCTCTTAAGTTCCGATTCATAGTAACTTGTATAGGGATTCTGAGGAGTGGCTGGTGTGTTTGAACTGCCAACCTTGTGGTTCAAACTGACCTTGAGGTTGAGTGCTTATTCTGTGGTGCCACCCCAGGAGCAGCATACAGATCTGCAATGGCAGACAGGTGGTAGCTGCACATGAGGTTAATTATGGAAATTGGGCTAGGCTCTCCAGCCCCCAAGGTGGGGATTCTCATGCTGACCCACCACTGCCCCAGACTCGGTATTGTTGTTAGGTGCCTTTGAGTCGGTTCCAAACCATAGCGACACTGTATAGTGTTTCTGAGGGGTGGCTAGTGGGTTTGACCTGCCAACCTTGCAGTTCAAACCGACTTTGCGAAACAGTGGCATCATCCTTAGGCGTCACAGTGGGAGCAGATGGAGGCATATTGTCAGTTCTCCACAAAAGTGCTGTCCAGTCGGTTCTGACTCATAGTGACACTGTATAGGGTTTTCGAGGAGCGGCTGGTGAGTTTGAACCACTGACCTTGTGGTTCTAACTGACCTTGAGGCCTAGTGCTTATTCTATGGCACCATGCCAGGACTGGGATGGTCTTATAGTGGTGTGAACTGATTTCTGAGAAAAACAAAAACAAAAACAGGTGGTGGTTGTAAGGATTCCCAGACTTACACATGAGCCACTTGTAAAATAATTCACGTGGATGGAAGCCTTATATCATACTCAAGGTTTTAGTTTGTTAGGCA